TTGGGACTTGTGTGCAAAATTTGAGGTCAGTCGGACGTGATTTGATAGGTTTCAACATCGGTTGTGGAAGTTTCAAGTTTATTGATTTTGAATTGAGGTGTGATTCGTCGTTACGATGTTGTTATGTGTATTTTGATGCCTCGAGTAGGTCTTTGTTATGTTATGGGACTTGTTGGTATGTTTGGACGGGGTTCCGAGGGGCTCGGGCGTGTTTCATATTGATTTCGGGCTATTTTCCTTCATATTTGCATTGCTGGTTCTGCCGAATTCTGGGCTTCTGGTTTCCTTAATTGCGATCGCAGAGTATAGAATGCGATCGCGTAGGGTTGTTGGATGGCTGAGTAGGATTTTTCATTGCGTTCGCGAGCCCAGAGTCGCGTTCGCGGAGGTTGAGGCATTTGTTCAGTGCGTTCGCGAGCCTGGTGATGCGTTCGTGTAGTAGGAAGGAAGGCATGAGGATGTCAGGCATTTGTTTTTCGCGATCGCGAAATATGGTATGCAATCGCATAGCTCTAGGAGTTTGTTCATCACGTTCGCGTCTGTGGTGCTACTTTCGTGAAAGAGAAATTTCAGCTGGTGAGCATTTGTTCTATGCGAACGCGTGGAATTGTCCGCGTTCACGAAGTGTAATAGCTGGGCAGATTCTATTAAATCTCATTTCGGGGGTTTTAGCCATTTTATCATTTTTGGAGCTATGGAGCTCGGATTGAGGCGATTCTTGAAGCAATTTTTACCATATGAATTGGGGTAAGTGTTCTCTACTCGGTTTTGGTTATATTTCATGAATCTATCTTCGATTCTAGCTTTTGGTTGATGATTTTCAAAGAGGAAATTGGGAGTTTTGACCTAAAGTTTCATAATGTGATTTTTTGAGTTTTGAACATCAATTTGGAGTCGGATTTGAATGAAACTAGTATGGTTGGACTCGTAATTGAATGGGTTGTCGGATTTTGTGAGTTTTGTCGGGTTCTGAGGTCCGAGCCCGGGTTGGACGTCTTGGCCGATTTTGATCTTTTGATTAAAGATTCAACTTTTTTTGATTGGGTTTGTTTCCTTGGGCTTTATTTGATGTATTTGAGTTGCTTTTGGCTAGTTTTGAGCCGTTCGGAGATCGCTACGTGCGTGATGGCATCTTTGGACCATCGCTTGGCTTGCTCGACACTGGTATTGGCTTGTTCGAGGTAAGTAACTCTTCTAAACTTAGTGCTGAGGGTATGAAATCCCGAAATACATGTTATGTGATTGGTATTGAGGTGACGCACATGCTAGGTGATGGGCATGTGGGCATGCACCATGTGAATTGGGACTCTGTTGTTTCCATGGCACTGTATAGTGGTCCTACTTTGTTGATGTCCGTATTTTCACCATGTGATAAAGTAATTGAGCTGTCAATCATGCTAGATATCATGTTTAAGCTTTATGACGATACTGCTAGGACCCATAATGGTCGTTTCTTGGTGTCATTTTACTGATTTTATTGATATTTCGTACTCAGTCATATTCTTGCATTCATATCATAGCTCAGTCTCAGTTGTTATTTATTGATACATCATATCATTATTTTGGGCTAGTTTCATGAAATTGTGAGCCCGAGAGATTGGAGAGATTGATGACTGAGTGAGGCCGAGGGCCTGATTGTGAGGATAATTATGGGATCGGGCTGCACACCGCAGTAGGCCAGATTGGCTTATTATAGCACGCGAGTTGTCCGTGCAGATCCAGATATTGATACTATTGCACTTGAGTTGTCCGTGCAGATTATGGCGCTTGGGCTAAAGAAGCCCCTCCGGAGTTTGTACACATCCCCAGTGAGCGAAGGTGCCTACTAAGTGCGAGTGCTGAGTGCCGAGTGATTGGGAGGACTGAGTGACTGTGAGGACTGATTGAATGGGAAGACTAAGTGACTGGGAGGACTGAGTGAATTGATACTCTGAGAGTATGCATATGGTCTTTATCACTAATTTGCATCGCATTTGGCATGCATACTTGACATACAGGCATAGAGATGAATTTTTCCTCATGCTGTATAGTATTACGTCATTTATGACTTCTCATACATTTTGACACATGGGCATGGAGAGACATCTTACACTTGCTACCTAAAAGGAAAATGAAACATCTTATTTATTGTTGAAAGAATTTTTGGGAAAAATCACAGTTTTCAAACTTACTTATATTTTTTGGCAATTTCGGTAAAAGATTTGGGTTTTCATTGAGATACTTGAAGAGTATGCCTATTTTCTGGAACAGTGAACGAGCTGAGCACTTTATTTCTAAGATACTCCTTTTATTACTTATACTATGCTGTTATGAATTATTGTGGGATATTGGTATTGGACCCGATCTTTGTTCTAGGTCGTCACTACTTTCAACCTAAGGTTAGGTTTGTTACTTATTGAGTACATGTGGCCGGTTGTACTCATACTACACTTCTACACCTTGTGTGCAGATATTGACTGCTGACATTGCTGTGATCGACGGGAGCCAGAATTGAAGATGTACCTTCATTCCGATTGTAGCTGCCTCTTATTCATGGTAGCCTTAGATTTATAAAACTCTGTTTATGTACCTTTCAAACATATGATGTATTTACTTCATTTCAGCTTTGTAAACTCTATTCTTAGAGGCTCATAATTTGTACTACCAGTCCTTAAAAAATGTATAAGATTCAGATGTTCTCTTTCAATTAATTGTCTTATTAACATTATTGGAATTGGATAGTTATTAGTTGGCTTACCTAGCGGGTTGGGTTAGGTGCCATCACGACTAGTTGGATTTGGAGATGACACCATGTCTCTTCGTTCGTCGATCTCATGGAGCTCTTGCCTTCTGCTCTCGTCGTTAGTAGTGCTACTTTCATAGGATTACCTTAGGCTGGGCTCTCCGACCTCAACTGGTATAACTGCTTCAATTCTATAGACCAGAGAATAGGGTGTCTCTCCTGCGCTTTTCTTCGGGGTGGTTCTATACGCCCATAATAGTATTTTCGGCCACAGTCCCTTGGCTTATTCGAGTTTTTTCTTCATGATGTTTAATATGGACTTGTTGGAGGATTTTGCCTGCCCGTTTCTCGATGGGTGATAAGGGGTTGAAAGTATCCTCTTAATGTGCCATTTCTCGAGGAATTCGACAATTTTCTTTCCCGTGAACTAGGGTTTGTTGTCGCAGCTGATCTCTTTGGGTAGGTCGAATTGGCAGATGATGTTTTTCCATATGAAGGCAATTACCTCTTGTTCGCGTATTTGGGTGAACGCTCTTGCTTCCACCGAGTGAAGATGTTTACCGGCTTGGTGAATTATTGGGGAGTATTTTTGATTGTGGGCTAGTAGTATCCTGCATGTATGGGGCAACTAATGAGTGCTCGACCACTAGAATGAGTGCCGCAGTGGCCTTCATAGACTTCTTCGAGAACGCGTTGGGTTTGGTTTGGACCCAAACACTTCACCAGGGGGCCACCATATGTTCTCTTGTACATGTCATTATGAAGGAGGTTGTATCTGGCCGCTTGCATTCTCAATTTTTTAGCTTCCCTTTTGTCATTTGGGAGTGTGCCGTCCTGCAAGTAGGTGATAATACAATTGCGCTAGTCCCAAGCTAAACTTACAGATCTTACCTTAATTTGGTCTAACGATGAGTTAAGGAGATGGACTACACTTTTATCCCCGGTTGTGATGCTTTTGGTGGCTGTGGCCAATTTGGCGAGGCTGTCCGCTTCAACATTCTGGGCTCACGGGATCTGGTCGAGCTGGCATTCGTCGAAATTGGGCAGCAACTTACACATCCCAGTTTAATATTTTTGCAACCTTTATTCTTTGATTTGGAACGTCCTTGTGACTTGGTTGACTACGAGCTGTGAATCACAACTGAGTCTTAACTGCCTCGCCCCATATTTGAGTGCTTGTCTCAACCCTGCAATTACGGCCTCATACTCAGCCTTGTTCTTAGTCATATCTGGGCATCTTATGGATTGGCAAATTACTTTACCGGTAGGGACCTCAAGTACGAGTTCCAGTCCGGATCCAAAAGCATTGGATGCGCCATCGGTGTATAGGACCCAGAGGTATTGTGTTTGAAAAGAAGCTTGAGCGGCTTCCTTCTCGACCTCAGGCATTATCCTTGCGTTGAAGTCCGTAACAAAGTCTGTGGGTGATGAATGTGGTCTTCTCCTGGTCCTCTTCTTCTATGAGTATCTGGTTATAACCCGAGTATGCATACAGGAAACTCAGTAGCTCATGCCCGACCGTTGCGTCGATGAGTTGGTCGATGTGTGGCAATGAGAATGAATCTTCCGGGCATGCTTTGTTTAAGTCTGTGAAGTCTACACACATCCTCCATTTCCCATTTTTCTTTTTGACCATCACTTGGGGTATTTCGACTCCCTGATGGAGCTATTTTTTAATAGCTTTTCTACCTCCTCATAGACGACATCATTGATGGTGGGTTTGAACTTTCGTCTGACCTGCCTTACTGGGGGATAGAATGGGTCGACATTCAACTTGTGTGTGGCGATCTCCTTAGGGATGCCCGACATATCTGCATGACTGAAGGCAAATAAATCTGCGTTAGTTATTAAAAATTGACTAAATTTACCCGGTTCTTGGAGTTTGCATCCGATGTAGGCTGTTTTGCTGGGGTCTCTAGGATCTAATTGAATGGGGTCGAGGTCCTCTATAGCTGAGTCTGCGGCTTTGACCGTTTCGGGGTTCGTGATGACGTCACTGTTCCCCGCGTATGCTGTATATTCCCCAAGGTATTAGAAACTTGATCACTTGTAATAAGCTAGAGGGGACGGCTCTCATGGGATGTATCCATAGTCGTCTTACTATGTCAATGTATGCGGTAGCCTGGTCCATGATGTGGAATGTTGTCTCCAGAGTTATGCCACCGGAGAGGACGGAGAGTGTAATTTCTCCCGAGGTCCATTCAACTGCATTGTTAAAATCGGTTAGTGTGATGCAACATGACACTATCCTGTCCTCGAGTCTCATACGGGCAAGGACTCAGGGATGGATAATGCACGCTCCACTCCCATCATCTACCATGATATGCTTAACATCAGTATCTGAAATTCGTAAAGTAATACTAAGAGCATCGTTGTGAGGGAAAGTCAAACCGTCAGCATCTAACTCGTCGAAGATGATGCTTTCTTCGAGTCCATCATACTGTTCATGGGTGATCGATATTTTGAGCTTGTGAGTGACTGTGAGCTTGATACCATTGATGGAGGCATCATCGTTGTCACCAATAATCATATTGATGGTGCAAACCGATGAGGGCAGCTTTGGCGGGCCTTGACGTTCTCGACCCCTGACGAAGGTGGTCTTTCCCTTATCGCTCAACAACTCTTTGAGGTGTCCTTTCTGCAACATGTTCATAACCTCTTGCCTTAGGGCGATGCAATCTTCTGTTTTGTTCCCGCGTTCATAGGGGAATTCACAGAAGGCGTCAGATTTTCTGGTACTTGGGTCAGACCTTATCTTTGGTGGCCACTTCACCTTTATTTCGACTTTTTCCAGGGCGTACACTATTTCTGTAGGTGAAACATAAAAGTTGTGAGCAGATAATAGGGGGAATACCTCTCTTGTTCCTGTGAGTGCCCATTCTCAGCCTATATGGACCCTCATCATAGTGGGAGGAAAGTGGGACAGGGGCACTAATGTAAGGCTGATGTCATTCTTTGTTCGGTTGTGAGATTGGGTTATCCCTTCTCATTTTATCTCTATGTTCTCTCCTAGGTTTGGCTTGTACCGAGATGAGCCCATCGGGTTGGCCCATTGAAGTCGTCATCATCTGCCCGGACTTTGGCATAATAAGCATTATGGATTTCGTCCCAAGTGGTCGGAGGGTACTTCATCAACCAACTCAGCAACTCTTTGGTCGCTCTTGAACCCTCTCTGCTCAACCCGTTCTGAAAGGCTGCGACTGCCATCCCTTCAGATACATTTGTCAAGGTCATCCTTACCCTATTGAATCGGGCGAGGAAGTCCCTTAGTCCGTCTCCCAAGGATTTCTTGATGGCGAAGATGTCGTTTATTCTTGTTTCGATTTTCTTAGCCCCGACATGTGCCATCACGAATCTATCAGCCATTTCTTCGAAGGTTTCTATAGAGCAGGCTGGTAGCTGTGAATACCATGTTAATGTCCCTCTAGTGAGGGTTTCGCCAAATTTCTTCAGCAAAATAGAGGACACCTGTTCCTTGATGAGGTCATTTCCCTTTAACGGCAGTGACGTAATGAGTCACGTGATCGTCGGGGTCAATTGTTCCATCATATATCCTGAGATACGGTGGCATTTTGAAGGTCTTTGGTATGGCATGTGGGTCTACTTCTTTGCTATATGTTTGCTCTACGAACCCGTCGGCGTCCCTTTTTGGCAGTAGCTTAGGGGCACCCGGTATCTTGTCGACTCATTCTTGGTGTTATTTTATTTGGTCTCTGAGCATTTTGTTCTCATTCTCCATTTCTTCCATTCTCTTCAAAACAGTGGCAAGGATGCCGTCACTTGCAGTGTTAGTAACATTGTGAGTTATACCTGGCATTGGAGGGTCTGGTTGATCACCATGTTCTTCTCCTCGCTGTACCGTATGGGCTCTCTTGGTCTTTATGGCCGTGCATGGAGCTTGTTTGTTGAGCATGCTTACTAATGTATCGGTCAACCACGCTTCGAGGAGATTTTTCATGGATGGTGGTGTCCCTTCTCCTGTGGATGTGGAGGCCCCTTTTCTATTTGGTTTTGTTGTGCTACAATTGGAGGGGGGAGGGCTCTCACACTTGAGGGAGGCAGTGGGTGTCACGTCATCGCCAGCGTTTCATTACTCTCATTGATAGCATTCATGAGGTTGCCGGGGATGTCACCTATCACCTTAGTTCTGTCTCCTTGGTTACCTGCCATGTAAATTTCTATACGTGCAGAGAAGGAAAAAAAACTTTGTGGTTTGTTAGGTTATCAAATCACGTGAGTTGTAGATCTAATGGAAACTGAAAGATTAGCTAAGAAGTCCCCATAAACAGTGTTAAACTGTTTGACCCAAAATTTAGATATGGGCTTAACCAATTAGATTTAATAAAATAGAATCAATCTTAGCCAATATTAATATCCAAAAGATACAATAACTGACTTTGCAATAAGATAATATCTATATTATCCGAATGGCAATAAATGTTGACATCACTAACAATATTAAATGACCAAAAGAAGGGGATAACATTAAATAATAATAATAAATTTCAATGAATGGCATTTTAGTAAATAATAATGTGTAATTCATCCGAAAAGGGGTGAGATCTCTGGTTATTCTGTCATGACCCAAACCGAAGGGCCGCGACGGGCACCCGGTGCCTTACTCAATCGAGTACCAACATAACATTTTTTTTATTGTACTATCATGAGTAAATGAGCCTAAAAGGCCGTCATGAGATAACCAGAATAAAACATAGGGGAATACTCGATATAGAACGACCCAATATGATATACAAACTTATACATGTGACAGACGGGCCTATAAGTCCGACATGATCATTTGTACACTCAAAACATAGGCCGAGAAGGCCATACAAGTGTCCATATACATGACATCTCTCTACAATCCTCTAAAAGTACATAAACAATGTAAAGGTCGGGACATGACCCCACCATATCAATCAATACATGTCCAAAGCATACTGACCAAATAGGCACCTCCAGAGCAAGTGGAGTGCGCCAACACCTTCCGCTGAGCTGATAACATACTAGGAAAACTATCAACCTGTCTATCGGGACCTACGAGCATGAAACACGGCATCCCTAAGCAAAATGGACGTCAGTACGAATAAAGTACCGAGTATGTAAGGCAGGAAAGCATAAATAAGAATAGTAATGTAAAGAGACATAGAGGAGATACAACCTTTAGCATCTGAGTGGTTCTGAGGGCTACTGACATGAAATGCATGATACATATATATACATAAACTTTTAAAAACATATGACTCTGTGGGAATCATCATCATCATATCATACCAGACCTTGAAGAGGACTCGGTAAAAACGTACCCGACCATCATAAGGCTCGGTAGAATAGTACCCGTCTATATGGAGCTCGGTAAAACCCAACTGATCAGTGGTTGCACAATAGGTTCCGTACCCAGCCGACTATAGTACGACTCGGTAGAGTAAAATAGATACATATATA